ATATATATATATATATATTAATTTAATTATATTCATTCTCATAAGTTATAATCATATATTCTCAAAGTTCTATCTTTTAGTTCTAGAGGTACATCTCAAATATCAATTTTATAAATAACCAAAAAAATTCTTAGCTTGTGTACTATCCGTACTCCGAAGTCGAGCTCCGAGTTCGGTACCACAGCACGAGTTGACCTCGGACACGCGCCACGCGGCGTCAGCTCGACACTTAAATAGATCGTAACTGATCTCGGGGAATCCCGGTCTAGGCGAGATCCTCTACCTAATCAAATCACAACTAATCTCAGGCCCAAGGCCCAACGCAACCCTAACATACATCAAGGTACGTGCATTATATATACGAGATTCATATTCATACAAACCCTAACTTTAGCATCGGAGTCTCTTTTGCAGGTACCACCCCCTCTTATCCGAGGTCGAGTCCGAACCTCGTTAAAATTTTGAGGTCGAATACGAACCTCAACACTCTTATCCGAGGTCGAGTCCGAACCTCGTTAAAATTTTGAGGTCGAATACGAACCTTAAGAGGTCGACTCTGAACCTCGTGAAAATTCTGAGGTCGAACACGAACTTCAACACTCTTATTCGAGGTCGAGTCCGAACCTCGTTAAAATTTTGAGGTCGAATACGAACCTTAAGAAGTCGACTCCGAACCTCGTGAAAATTCTGAGGTCGAATACGAACTTCAACACTCTTATTCGAGGTCGAGTCCGAACCTCGTTAAAATTTTGAGGTCGAATACGAACCTTAAGAAGTCGACTCCGAACCTCGTGAAAATTCTGAGGTCGAATACGAACTTCAACACTCTTATTCGAGGTCGAGTCCGAACCTCGTTAAAATTTTGAGGTCGAATACGAACCTTAAGAAGTCGACTCCGAACCTCGTGAAAATTCTGAGGTCGAATACGAACTTCAACACTCTTATTCGAGGTCGAGTCCGAACCTCGTTAAAATTTTGAGGTCGAATACGAACCTTAAGAAGTCGACTCCGAACCTCGTGAAAATTCTGAGGTCGAAGACGAACCTCAACACTCTTATCCGAGGTCGAGTCCGAACCTCGTTAAAATTTTGAGGTCGAATACGAACCTTAAGAGGTCGACTCCGAACCTCGTGAAAATTCTGAGGTCGAATACGAACCTCAATACTCTTATCCGAGGTCGAGTCCGAACCTCTTTAAGGTCGAATACGAACCTTAAGAGGTCAACTCCGAACCTCCTTAAAATTCTGAGGTCGAAGACGAACCTCAACACTCTTAACCGAGGTCGAGTCCGAACCTCGTTAAAATTTTGAGGTCGAATACGAACCTTAAGAGGTCGACTCCGAACCTCGTTAAAATTCTAAGGTCGAATACGAACCTCAACACTCTTATCTGAGGACGACTCCGAACCTCGTGAAAATTTTGAGGTCGAATACGAACTTCAATACCCCTATCCGAGGACGAGTTCAAACCCTGAGAAAATTCACCTAACTCTATTATGAGGTCAAAAATGAACCTTAATACTCTTATTCGAGGTCAGGTCCGAACCTCAGGTCAAACTCGGACCTGCTCGACAAGATTCATTTAAAACCAAGGTCGAGGACTAAACCTCGGCATGACCAACTCGGAGCAAAGCATCACCACGCATAAAAACACACAACAAACACCAAACGAGTCTTAAAAACGCGCAAAACAGTAAAAAATTAAGCGCAAATAGACAAAGCAAAATACAAAGCTAGGTTTACCGAGTTCAATACATGAATTCAAGGAACAGAAAAATAGAGGCCGAGCCTCGACAGAGGCGGAAGCCGGTGCCCCCTGCTCGGCAACTAGAAAGTCCGCGATAGGAACCTCCGACCTCGCCTGAGAAAACCAGCGCCATGTCAAAAAAGAAAAAAAAAACGACAACATACAGAAAATCACGAAAATCAGGGAACACTACTTACCTCAGCAGCATGGGCAACCTGCTCGGTGGCTGGAGCCACCACCTCGGCAGCCAGCCTGGGCGGCCTGCCCAGCAGCCTGGGTCGCCGCCTAGGCAGCATCTCCTGCCTGCGAAAAACGGCCCTAGGTCAGAACACATAAAAGCACAATAGAAAACACCAAAAAGCCGAAGAGACAAGGTACTCACCACTTCGGCAGATTGAGCAACCTGCTCAGCAGTCTGAGCCACCTCCTCTGGGGCCACCTGAGGAGCCCCCTTGGGCGATGGACTCTCGATAAGGTCCACTGCACCAGCATCGGCTGCCTTGGAGGTCACCTCCTCGGCGTCTGGAGGGGCAGAGGTCCCCCCGACCTCCTTCGCTCCCCTCTTTCTTTTTCGGTTAACTTTCAAGGGGGAAGCATCTTCCTCTCGAAGCTCGGGGACCTCGAGCTCGGTAATATTGTAGCGATGCTTTAGCTCACGCCACAAGTTCTTCCCCATGATACCTACAAATAGGAAATAAAACACATCAGCAAAGGGAATTTACACAAACCCCAACAAACCACCAAAAAACAAAATACTCACTCTCCAAGCCCTCTCCCTGTACGCCGAGTTCGCAAGCGACAGAACGAGCTTGCAATCCAGCGGACGAGGAAGCGCGGCGAGGTTCTCGATGGCGGCCGCCTCCGAAGCCGTCAGCTTCACTTGGCCCATCCCATGAAACCTAGACGGTCGGGGGCACCAATAGAAGGGAAATTTCGGCAGCCCGCCGAAGTAGAACACCCCATCTTCCAATGGGTCGATATTCACAGGAGTGACTCGAAAAAACTCTTGTTTGAAATTTTTGTACGACTGGGTGTAGAGAGTAAACAAACCCCCATCCCTACTCTCACTCAGAGATAGTATGCCGTATGGCGGAACGCCTAACTTCAACTGGTAAAAATGAAAGAAGACGGGAAGAGACACCTCTATCCCTAAAACAGTACATAGGACTTGAAAAGCCCTCAAAAAACCCCAACTATTGGGGTGCAACTCGCAAGGAGCCGAGTTGACAAAATTCAAAAAATCACACTCGAACTGAGTGAAGGGAAGACAGACACCTAAATCCCTAAAAAAACAGTGGTACATATAGAAATGGAGAGGGTCGGTAGACTTCCCCATGTACACGCCCTCACAGGCCTGACAGGGTTCAAGCCGGATCATCCGGGGAATGGACGGGTCACAAACCCTTCACGATCTCGGGATCCCATTAACCTCAAGAAAGGAGCGAAAAATGCCTTGGACCCCCGCCATTTCACGCCTGACCCAGTCGTAACCAGGGATGCCTGGCTCCAGGCCCTTGGGCGGAGGCGGGTCCTTCTTCTCGACAGCGGCTTTCCCGGTAGCCGCCGCCTTGCCGCGAGCCTTGCCCCTGGCAAGCGCAGAAGAACCGGCACCACTTCCACCAGCCATTAAAGAAAAAGAAGATTTGGGAAGAAGAAAGAGAAGATCTGGGGGAAAAGAAAAAAGAAAACTGTAGAAAGGAAGTACCTGGTACTCTTCCTCACAAAACAACCCTAATAATGACGGGGTTACCGGAAACGGCGGCGAAAACTGTGAAAACAGCGTCGGAGACTGGACGGAAGCGAAGCTGCACAAAGCAGCTTGCGCAAGAAGCCAAGGAAAAGAGTAAAGTGAAAGGTGAAGAGGCGCGAGTGAGAGAAGAGAAGGTTTTCTCCCAAATTCAAAACAGTCACGCCACGTGTCAGCCAAGGGGCACGTCTGACGACATATTAATGGAAAACCATCATGACAAACGCAAACCATCATTACATACTGTCACTTCCATTAACACACCACGTGGCTTCATCTCGGCACTTAAATAGATCCCGACGAGCTCAATCTTAACTCCTCGACCTACGGTCTTCGGAGCTCGAGGGGTTAGTGTATTATCCGTACTCCGAAGCCGAGCTCCGAGCTCGGTACCACAGCACGAGTTGACCTCGGACACGCGCCACGCGGCGTCAGCTCGACACTTAAATAGATCGTAACTGATCTCGGGGAATCCCGGTCTAGGCGAGATCCTCTACCTAATCAAATCACAACTAATCTCAGGCCCAAGGCCCAACGCAACCCTAACATACATCAAGGTACGTGCATTATATATACGAGATTCATACTCATACAAACCCTAACTTTAGCATCGAAGTCTCTTTTGCAGGTACCACCCCCATCTTGGAGCATCAAACGTACCAGCAAAGGAGGCTCACCGATTTTACCTGGCGGATCAGCTCTACAGCAGATTTCCGGTAAGAACAGCTTGTGTTTAGAAGAGAAATTTTAAAAGTTGAGATGCTTGAAATTTTAATTATTTTGATAAGATAATTTAATTTAAATTTTTTAAAATTCATATACTCAATTTAGACAACACAATTGAATTTTCACCATATACAAAAAAAAATTATAATAAAAAATTGAAATTTTAATATTAAAAATATACAAAAAAAAAATTAATCTCAAAAGGCTAATTCGTTCTTTTTATTTTTACTTTATTTCTTGTAGTGTCCAATAGGAAAATGTATCTAAAGATAGTGTTTCTTGAGTTTACAAGTTAAAAAAAGGATCTCTAATTAAGGGATTAACAAAAGATTCCTCTTGTGGTTATGAGAGTGCCTTAGGATCCATATTTGATTAGTTATCCTTATTATAATCATGTTTTACTAACATAGAATATCCTATAATATAGGGTTGATCATAGAAAGATTGGATGTAACTTAAGTGAAAAATAAACTAGTATAGATCTTTGTGTTAATCTCTCTTACTTTCTACTTATTATCTTACTTTAATTTTAATTGTTGTTCTGGTTTTAAAAATTAACTTTGCATGGGATTGTATTTGTTAAAAACAAAACATTGATATTTGTATGTGAAAATTAATAAAAATTTCTAAAGATCAAGAAGCTAAGAAATTTAAGAACCAATTCAACCCCTTCCTTCTTTATTGAGTTTTGGATGCTAACAACATTAAGATTTTGAAGGAATTCATGTTTCTTTCAATTATTTTAGTTTTTTTAAAAATTATTGATTATTGGTCTATTTTTAACCTTGAAACTTTATATAATTGTAATGACTATTTCGGAGTTCCTATTTTGCTTTTGGTATTCACTTTGTTTTATTTAAATTTTATTGAGAAAATTAAGTTAATACGATCCTTTATGAATGAAAAAATTGTTTCTATTTTATTTTATTCTTCATAATTTAATTATTTTGGAGGTAAAAGATGTCACAGGCAATATCTATATTTTAGATGCACTTCTTTTTTATATCACAAAAGTCTCATTCAGAGCACGGTTCTTTCGTGAATGCCCATATTTTACATACACTTAATGTTTGTGGTCACAATTTGAAATAGATATTTAACTCTAAAAGCCAAAATCCTATAGAAATAGAATGACTACTTAGTTGAGAGGATCACATATTAGAAGAACCTGAACACAAGATAGAAAGTCACTTTTTTTTTTTAAATTGTAGTTTTTGTCTTTTTATTTTTGTCGATCCCGTAATTTTAATTTTTTAATTTTAAAATAAAAATATTTAATCATTTTAATTTTTAAAATATAAAAATTTTGTCATCCCTTCGAATTGATACTTATTAATTATTGATTTTTTAATGTTTACTTATACTAATAATATGACATTTGGAGATAAAATAAAAATATAAAAAAATGTAAAATAAGATTTATTAATAAAATAAATATTAATCACTTGATAAAATATATAAAAATAAAGATTTTTTTTATGATACTTTTTTATTTTTATCTTTATATATCACTCTTAAAATATTATGTCACTTAAGTGATAACAAGTTATTGGATAATGTCAAAATTTAATAATCAATAAATATTAAGTTTATAGTAAAATCAAAATTCTGTATTTTTAAAAATAAAAGATTTAATATTCTATTTTAAAATAGAGAAATAATTAAGTCTTTTTAATTTGTAAATTGTAAGCGAGACCCTTTTTTTTATACTTTAAAGTTTCATTTTTTAAAATTAAAGTGTTTTTTAATAAAATAATCAATTTTCTTTTTTTCTTTTGACGTATTGTCTGAACTGTTTATTTTAATATTAAAAAATTTTCTGTTTTTCTAGAAAGAACTTTTATTAACTTCTTAAAAAAATATTTTTTGTAATCATTTTTTAAAAAATTTAAACAAAATAAACAGTTCTTAAGGAATTAAATGTGAAAAGTTTTTCATTGGAAGTGTAATGGTGCGTACCTCTATATTTTCAATGCAATTATAACTTAATCTTTTTACTCCTTTCATTCTTTTTTAATTATCAAATTTTTTAAGTAAAATTTTGTTTCTTTCTATGTTAAAAAAGGTCTTGTTAAAACTTTAAACTTTAAAGTACTTATTACCGGCATTTTCCCATTACTCGTGCTTCATTTCAACTTTTGTCTCCCCGTGTTTGGAACTTAAATCAATGCATCTTGCATGTATCAATGTTATTTAATTTTCACAAAATTTATTACAATTAATGAACACGGTGAATATTAAATATCCGATTAAATGAATAAAAAAGTATATAAATATTATGTTAGAAAATAGGTTATGTATTAATCAAATAAAATTATTTTACACCTTAATTTAATTATAGATACTAGAATATGTACTAATCGTATATGCATATATATAAAGATGAAACAATTACACAAATATGTGCAATATACATACACTAATTTTGTAAATACAAGTATACAACTAAGTTATTAGTCAAACAATTATACTATCCATATAAATCTACCATCAATAGGTAGTCATCAAAAACATCTAGTTCCAACACTACAAAATATGGCCTCCACTACAACATTCTAGTCCTATCCTTATCTTGCTTCCATATTACGTATAATTATCACAATTCAAATCATATGAAAACATGCAAGGATAATTTAAAGAAGAAAAAAAAGAGCAACATATATATACAACATAGGAACATCAACACTTTGAATACATCATCATATCTTCATCTCACCTCTAACATTTCTAATATAATACATCATATTATACAACACATATCATCACAACAATTCAGTTTACCACAACATATTATCAACTTAACATCACAACATTCTCAACATAGGTTAATCATCACAGCAACACAGTATTTTCAACACAACAATTACATGTATCATCACGCATTTCAACTAAGAGATCTCCTACAACATAAGGTGAGTAGTTTAAGTGGCTTGACCCTACTAGACCAATCAACATCAACATAGATGATTTTTTTGAACTTGCTAGATCAATAACAAATTAGGATATCAATCTACAACACAGACATGATTTCTCATATGTCACAACTTAAACTAAGAAAGTTTTATTCCATAGTCAGAAATAATATAATTAGGTATAAGCGTACCACAACTTTGACATGCATTACCAAGTCACATATGAAGTTAGCCCACTAATTATCCACAAGGAATCATGCAACCTTTCCAATAATCAATTAAGGGTGATAACCCTCAACTTCATACCTTACTCTACATCAATTAAGGACCTAAAGGAGATTCAACACACTTCTCCACTTCAAGGGTCAATTTCCTAAAAAAGATTTTCAATAAATTGGGTTCGCAGAACACCAAAACATAATATCCACACAATGGGATATGCAACATTTGAAAACTTCATCTCTAGTCCTAAGTAGTCATCACAACTCAACAACACAATAATTTTTTACATATTAAACACAATAACAAAATCAACATACAACTCCATATCTCATCACAACTCAATCATCACTACTTGTATTCAACTTCTTACTCATCATACCCAACTTAGCTACCTACACAACTATACAACCTACTACTCAACTCAATTTTCAACTAGTAATTCACAACATAATCACCACATATAACTTATCAACATTCAACATATAAAGTTCCTTGTCATACAACACCCTTACAACTTATTCATCATCATTTAACCATAAAACAACTCAAACAATAAGTTTTTAACATACAACTCATTCATCAAGCAAGCAATTAACTCAATTAGAAAAGAATTTTATTTTACTAAGTCCTCACGCTCAATGCAAAATCTCACACCAAGTCTTAGCCTAGACACATCTCAACTCTCATGCTTAGCCCGAAACTCGCGCTCAGCCTCCCTCATGCTCAACGTAAAATCTCATGCTTAGGCTGGGTTTCCCAACAACACTTACAAACTCTCGTGCTAAGAATGAAAACTTATGCTCAGTGTCCCAAACCGAGAAACTCATACATGTAGATGAACAATTCAATCTCCAAATTCTCTCAACTTATGCAATAACCCATACATGCAACCTCAAACCTTCCAATTTTCACAACATACAACTTAAAAATCAAAGGAAAAATAACATGCATCAACCACAACTCAAAGAAATCATCATTTTACCCTTTCATCAACAACATCAAAACCTTAATTTCAACATGCAACCCACATCAAATCCATCCCCACAACTACAAATTTTAAAAATTCTATTAAATTCTTGATTCATTTAACAGCCCAACATTTCAATTAAAACCTAAGATTTCAGCTTCTTTTACCTTGAAATGGAGTGAAACCTAGGAAGAACTCCGAGCTACTCTGAGATAGAAGAGAAAGAGAAGGAAATGGGCTCCAAGCTCCAACAACCCGACCTCCGCACTTACTCCATGAGATTCTCATCTCCAAATTGCTTTGAATCACCCCTAGCTACAAAGTCTTGGAGAAGAAGAAAACAAAGTCTCCAAGCATGAATTTTTCCTTAAAAATTTGAGAAGAAGAAAGAGAAGTGTTTAGGTCCTCAAAGCTTCTCTCCCTTCAAAGTCATATCTTACAAAACTTATATTATGTCTTACATTAATAAAAACCAATCTTTTGTAATATTTATGTTAAGATAATAATTGAAATAAATTGTTATAAATAGATCTTATTTTATTAAAGATATATTTGAAATATTAATTAATTAATATTAAGTATATTATATTTAATGTTTTCATAAGAGAAAATTACAAAGTTAGTTGCAATAAAAATTTTAACTTAGATTTTTATGTTCTACTACCCAACTCCTTCTCCTTCAACCATTAAATTAACCCTATTGGTCATACTTTCAACTATTTAAAAATACATGTTAGATATTTTTTTTAAAGTAAATTAACCCTATTGGTCATACTTTCAACTATTTAAAAATACATGTTAGATATTTTTTTAAAGTCAATGTTCTGTATTTTTTAACATATAATTATTTAAAATTTATCTTGTTTAACTTTGAAATATCACATACATAAAAAAAATATAAGAATCTATTTATTTTAAGAATAAGTCTACTTATATTTATTTCACTCAAAATTATTATTTTACAATAAATTTTAATGATATAACTATTAAATTAAAAATTCTTATTATATAGACTAAGTTTACAAAACTTAAAAATTTTGAAAATAATTTGATATTCTGTTTTAAGAATTTAAATTAATGCATAATTATAAAAATATTTTATATATTGATTTAAATTAATGAAATAAAATATTAATTAATTTTTGATTATTTTTTTAAATTTACATACTTTATTTAAATATTAAATTTTTTTAATTTAATAAATATATTATCAAAATTTAGTATTAAACAAAAATTATTAAATAAAATAATGAATCTCTTATATAAAAAAAAAATAGAATATTTTAAAATGAGCTACAATTTAAGACCCATTAAACTTACTCGAGACAGTTGCCGCCGCCAACCAACAGTGCTTGAATTTGTTCAGCGACTCTCTCCATTTCTATTTCTATTTCTTATTTCTTTAGTTTCTATCTGTTCAACAACCCCTCTACGCCTCTCTTTCAATATATTTTGTCTCTCTTCGATTAAATTAATTTATCAACTACTTCAGATTTATTTTTCTAAGCAGGGGTTGAAGACGTGATTTCGAAAGGAAAAGACAACACTAAAATCCAAACGAAACCATATGCATCACCGAATCAAAGTCAAAACACTTCTAAAACTCTTTTTATTTTTTCAACTGCTCGATCATAATAATAAAGAATTGCCATCGATTTATTCCTTTTATTTCTTTTAATCTATCTACTACAAAAATACTTTATATTTATCTAGTTATAAATTCAAGATAATTTTCTTTTCTAAAAGTTAATCAAAGATCAAATGATAAATCACGTCACCACCTATTCCCAATAAAAAAAATATTAATAATATACTCTCTAAAAATCAGAAGTAAATCTTAAAAAAAAATATAATTTTTCATAAATTTCAATCAATAATGAAAATATTAAAAAATGTGTTATTGTTTATTAGTATTTTTGGTCTCCAAACTCACATGCTTTAAATTAGAAGTCATAGTTGCAAGGAGATAAAGCCACCCAATTTAATGTACATTAATTATATTTTTTTTTCATTTTTCTTGAGAAAAGTATACTTTTAACCTTTTTATTTTAAAGCGAAAAGAGCAGCATCATGTCTAAAAATAAACCTAGAAAATTACCTCCGTAATAATCCGTACAGTCCGAAGTGTCGTGTTGACGTTTCCACCTGTTGGCACCGATGTTCAAAGTACTCAACAGTTACCGCTGAAAATTCCAACAGAAGAAGCCCAAGTTTTTCAAAGCTCATCACATCAACGTTCACCAAAGTACCAAATAATTCTCCGCAACAAGACTTAACATGCATCCCTCAGCGCTTCTTATACTAACGCCACTCCCTTTCCAGTTTCCACTCCTCAACTTTCCCAGAATCGCTTTTTATTTTCTCACCAACCAAACATGACCAAACCCCAACTTCCCCACCACCTCATCCTCGCTTTCTTAATTCACCTCACTCTCTCAAACGCAGTCGTTTCAGCCCGACTCTTCCCCAACGTCTCCTCCTGGCTCCCCGACTACGCGCCCCTCGGCGGCGCGTGGGACGCGTTCCGTAACTTCACCGGCTGCCACCGCGGCGACAATTACGACGGCCTCGCCAACCTCAAATCCTACTTCCAGCGCTTCGGCTACATCCCTCACGCGCCGCCGTCCAACTTCTCCGACGACTTCGACGACGCGCTCGAGTCCGCCATCAAGACTTACCAGAAGAATTTCAACCTCAACGTCACTGGCGTCCTCGACGACGCCACGCTCCGCCAGATCGTGCTGCCGCGGTGCGGCGTCGCCGACATCATCAACGGCACAACGACGATGAACGCCGGCAGGGAGAACCAGACGGCGTCGTTCGGCAAGCCGCGGTTCCACACGGTGGCGCACTTCAGTCTCTTCCCCGGTATGCCGCGGTGGCCGGAGGGAACGGAGGAGCTTACGTACGCGTTTTTCCCCGGGAACGAGCTGAGCGAAGCCGTGAAAAGCGTCTTCGCCGCGGCGTTCGCGCGGTGGGCGGAGGTGACGTCGCTGAGGTTCCGCGAAACGGCGTCGTATTTCGGCGCGGACATTAGGATCGGATTCTTCAGCGGCGACCACGGCGACGGGGAACCGTTCGACGGGAGTTTGGGGACTTTGGCGCACGCGTTCTCGCCGACGAACGGGAGGTTCCACCTGGACGCGGCGGAAGACTGGGTGGTTTCCGGCGACGTGACGCGGTCGGCGCTGGCGACGGCGGTGGATTTGGAGTCGGTGGCGGTGCACGAGATTGGGCACTTGCTAGGGTTAGGGCACTCGTCCGTGGAGGAAGCGGTTATGTTTCCGACGATTTCGTCGCGGAGGAAGAAGGTGGTTCTGGCGGAGGATGATATTACGGGGATTCAATTCCTCTACGGTTCCAACCCCAATTACAATGGCTCCAGCGCCACGTCATCACCGGAGAGGGACTCGAGCGACGCTGCTCGGTGCCTCACTCGTGCGAGGTCCTCCTTTGGCCTTTTAACTTTGTTGACTTTTGCATTTTCTTTTTTTGCATTATTATAGAAACTCCTTTTCATTTTTTATTAGTATTATTTATCTAAAATATATGCGAGCCTTATTTGGACCTGGCTTGCACTGGAATGGCACCATTCGTGCCCCTCTCCTTTAACTTTTTTTTTTTTTCTTTCTCTGATTGTTGTTTGTTGTTCCATGATTACAAGACACACTGTATAAATTCATATAGAATTTCATGGTGTATATCGTATATAATAAAATTTCATTTATAAACATCGAACAAGTATTGCCTTGCCGGTCGTGATGGATTTTTAGGAACAAGGTGCAGGCCATCAATGATTAGATGGCCCCACACGCACTCTTTGCATGGACAATTTTTTTTTATTAAATATTTATTTTTCTTTTTAATTTCATCATACCATTTTACTCACTAATATTAAACTCAACTCGGTTTGTGTCATCGATAATACCATGAACACATTATAACAATAAGAAAAAAGACAGATGTTAAGGTGCACTATCATCGTAGCTGGTTTATCATACATCATAATTTAAAATTTTTAGATTAATCTATGATTCATATTTATATAATGAACATCCCACACTGTGTTACATTATTATTTTCTCAATTTTTTACTTTGAAAATTGAAAAAATTCAGTTACGTTTTCTTTAAACACATACCAAAACATGCTAATAAATAGCGTACTACTTAAGTTATACTGTAGAAAAATGGATTTATGCATAGTGGGGGTGGTACCCAACAGGGGTCAACATGACTTCAATGGTGTACTGTGGGTTGCTCGGAAGACCAAAAAAAAATTATATTGTAGAAACATAATAATCTACACTTAAGTTAATTTAAAGGTTATTAATTGTAGTATAATGGATCATTTATAATAATAGTCCACCTTAGAATTTGTAAAAAAAATTATATATTAACAATTAAAAATTTTATATTATTATCTAATTACAAATCATAATGTATAGTTAAATTGTTAACTTTAATACCATTGAAATACCTTAATAATACGATTCTTTTTTATCTCTTCATTCCATCATATTATTTTATCTTACTTTTTTTTTTTTACATGATGTTATCTTATATTTCTCTTTCTTCTCTTTAGATTATCTCTCTGGACGTCTATTTTATTACAATTTTCTCTGTGTCTTCTTTTGATAACAATTTACTCTGGATGTCTATGAGAGTATGAAAATATATTAAATTCCATTTGTGTTGCACATTCACATGAAATTCTTGACCCTTGGCACAATGCACACTCATGATCATGAAATTTCTCGGCACATTTAATTTTTGGCTTTTACCAATCAGCATAGCGCTTTGCTGCCGAGGTATTATCACTTATTCAGTTATTCATGTGGTGTATTGGTAACTCATCATTTAAAATCATTAGATATAAAATATTTATTAAATGGGTGAGATTTCATTATTTACAATCAATGTAACAGGTCAAGTAGGGTAATCTTTTTTCTTTTTTTTTTTTAATTTTTTTACAGATTGCTCCCTGCGCCAAAATGTTTAAACTTTATATCCTTTAATTAACCTAAACCAAAAAACAAATATGAGAAATTTAATATTTTTATTTCCCCCCCAAACAAGCAAAGGTAAAGGTGGTGTTGGATGTTAAGATGACCAAGTAAACATGATAAAAGAGGGATGCTTTCTCACTAATATTTGCTTTCCAATGCAAAACCAGACAAAGCTAATAGACAAAAAATGAGCTAGCTTATCCTATGTAGTAATGAGTTAGTTTTGTTACATAGACCTTCAAAAACGTTTGAAAAAATAAAATAAAATTTGGGAGTGACACATATGGGTAATGGCAACCTGCACTTAACAAATTCCTTTTGCACCAAAATATTAAGGCAGATGATAAACACACCTCCACTCTCGTATAAATACACCTCTTTTTTTAAAATATATATATATAAAATATCTAAATTACCCCAAACCCGCACCCCCGTTTCCCTTTCCCGCACCCTCCTTCTGGCGCCGCAATCTTCCTCTCTCGCTTCAAATACGCCTCTACCGCTTCCGACGTCGGCGAGTGGATCCTCTTCGCCGCTCCCACGCCCTTCAACTGTTTCGTGAACAAGCACAGCGTGGAGTCCAAGCCACGCTCCTCTTCCAAGTCCAAGTTCGCAGGCCAATCCAACGAAACCACGCCTCCATCCTTCGCACTCACGCAGACTCTCTGATACCTCACCTCCGAGTCCCTCTCCCTCTCTCCCTCTCCGCCTTTCACGTGAATCCTCCTACGGTTGACGCTCATGTAGTGGCGCTACTCCAAAACGAGCCTCTCGGGGGCGGCGAGCGATATGGAAGGGTAGCGTAGCAGCACGAAGCGGTTGAAGGGCGTGGGAGCGGCGAACAGTTGGAGGCGGCGAGGCGAATTTGAAGCGCGAGAGGAAGATTGCGGCGCCGGAAGGAGGGTGCGGGGAAGAGAAACAGGGGTGTGGGGAAGGGAAACGGGGATGCGAGTTTGGGGGTAATTTAGACATTATATATATATTTTTTTAAAAAGGGGGTGTACTTATATGAAAGTGGAGGTGTATTTATCATCTGCCTTTATTTAATTTTAACTCGCTTGGTTTATGGGCTAAACTAACTTTTTTGTTTTGTTTTGTTTTATGGGATAAATGGGTCATCCATAAGCCCAATTTCCTAAGTTTAAATAAGGGCGTTGATATATACACCTCTTTTTTTTTTTTTTCTATAAGTATACCTCCTTTAAAAAAAATAAAATTTTAATATATTTTAATTTAAGGTATTAAGCATCCCTACAACGCCCTCAATTGGTACCCTATAATGAAGTTAGCGTTATAAACAATAATAATATAAATATTAAATCCCTTTTTTATTAATAACTATTTACAAGCTTAAAATTTAAATTATACAATTGACCCAAAAATGTCTACATGATTGCTTTTATCATAAACAATATTTATCAAAGATAAGAAATAAAAGAGAGAGAAGAAAATTAACTGAAATACCTCTTGAACGAGCTCTATTAATCTTAAAATATGGAGATTTAGGTGCTTTGTGGCAACCTTTCACACTACAATAAGCCTCACAAAACTCAAGAAATACAATAGGTAATTTATAAAATATTAAATATATTTTTGACAATTAAGTAAAAATATATTATTAAAAAAATACGTTCATAAACTATACACATGTTTAGGAAGAAATAAAATAAGTTATGATTTAAAAGCTTTTAATTTTATGCTTTGAAAAATATCTTAGAAATTAAAAAATGTAGCAATTTAAAGTGTTTAATAAAAATAATATAATTTTATTTTAATGAGTGTATTTGATAAGACATTAGCACTAATCCATGCGGATGCACAGGTGTTGTTTTTTTTTTCTTACCATGTTACATGCAACAAAGAAATTGTGTTAGAGAAGCATGTGACAGAAATTGAAGTATTGATGCGTTTTTCTTGTAATTAGAAAATGTTTAGTTTATATCTATAAGACACACAAACTATTCATCCATGAATGTTTGAGCTGGAGCGCTGAATTGAGCGTCACAGTGCTGGGGCTAGATGACCGAATTTGGTCTTAGGGTCTTCATGAATGTTGTAGCCTTGGATGTTAGCTTTCCAATGACACTTGAATCACCCAAAAAAAATGTCTATAGCTATTGTTAACCATGATAAGTGGAAAGGAAATATCTAATCATTCTAATAGTAAAGATGCAACTCTTGAGTTTGTTAATCAGGCTTAAATGAAGCTTTTTGCACTATTTAATGGAGTGACTGGAGTCTAACGTTGTATATTTAAAACTGCTTTGAACCAGCAAGCTTAATTAACAAACCTTGTTGATAAGAAATGACAAGAGGTGCTCATGTATGGGTTGGTCGCGGGGGAATTTAAGTCCAAACCAAGCATATTTGAATAGGTTTAGTTGGGTCACATCCATTAAGCAAATTTTCAACGCTCAAAATTTTGCAGCCCAATTAAATTTGGGCTGGATCGGCATCTGTGTATATTCAGCGAAAAATAATTGATTAAAAATTTGTGCAGAACTTTATACAAAAAGCATATGTTTGCAGGGATTGTCTGTGGTGGATCTAGATTGCCTGAATTTGAGGCGAGAACATAATGGTGCCGTTCAGCTAGTGTGAATCGTTGGATTGATCGAATGTACCAGATTTTAGCACGTGTAGCAAGTAATTTATTTTAACTGTTTATAAGTTTAATTTCTTTACGGCATTAAAAGATTTACGCAATACTACGCTGGTACACTCTATCTACGCTACTTTTAAACATTCTCTTTCAAAACAAAATCAATATAACAGGTGTCATATATTTAAAAAGTTTAAAATGATAAAATTAATAAAATGTTTTTTTTTCATTGATGTAGGTCAAAAATAAAAGTTTTATTCACATAATATATAAATAAATGTTATTTCTCACATATGTGGTGTATAATTTAATTTATAAAATATTAAATATATTTTTGACAATTAAGTAAAAATATATTATTAAAAAAATACGTTCATAAACTATACACATGTTTAGGAAGAAATAAAATAAGTTATGATTTAAAAGCTTTTAATTTTATGCTTTGAAAAATATCTTAGAAATTAAAAAATGTAGCAATTTAAAGTGTTTAATAAAAATAATATAATTTTATTTTAATGAGTGTATTTGATAAGACATTAGCACTAATCCATGCGGATGCACAGGTGTTGTTTTTTTTTTCTTACCATGTTACATGCAACAAAGAAATTGTGTTAGAGAAGCATGTGACAGAAATTGAAGTATTGATGCGTTTTTCTTGTAATTAGAAAATGTTTAGTTTATATCTATAAGACACACAAACTATTCATCCATGAATGTTTGAGCTGGAGCGCTGAATTGAGCGTCACAGTGCTGGGGCTAGATGACCGAATTTGGTCTTAGGGTCTTCATGAATGTTGTAGCCTTGGATGTTAGCTTTCCAATGACACTTGAATCACCCAAAAAAAATGTCTATAACTCTAGATATGGTTGTTTTAGTGAACAGAGGTCAAGTTGTCATGATCTAGGAAAAAACCCTAGTCCACTCTTTGGCCGGAACACTTTTATATTAGTGTTTATGAAAATTTATCTAAATTAATTTGTAATCTCTTAAAAGAGTTGCTTCATTCTACTGTTATTTTCAACCGTAGTTATCTGAAATAGTAGGGGGAAATAAAGAAGATACGTGAAGAAACAGTTATCTTTGAAATTCGTCTTTAAATTTTAATCGGATCAATTTTAGATTC